TAGTTTTTGTGTAATTTTCCCTTGTGATGTGCTTTCGTCTGTTTGCTTCCATTCCTTTCCTCCTCTTACTATTTGTGTAATTGTTGCTGTTGCCAGTTTGCATGTAGGACCCACGATGCACTGGGAATGTGCTTGATTTTGCCAACATGTCCACATTGTCTCCGGCTTCCGCTTGGTCTGACTGCGTCTGCACACTGATGTGCCACTGCTCCTGTGGCCCGTCCCTAAGTTTCATTAGTCTAACCAGAGATTTGTTTTCTATTTGGCTATGACTTGCCAGACTGTGATCCTTGACTTTGGAGCAGTCTGATTCTTGTTCCATCTGCGAGGAGCCATCGCTGACCCAGTTGGCCCCCCAACCCCGTCCAGACATAGCAGTGTTTGGCTGGAGAGTGTCCTAATTTGTGGCTAGGGGTTGTTGCAGTTCCCAATGCCGTTTCTGTCTTTGAAGCTGCCTTTGAAGGAAAGCCAGCCCATCGTTCCTCCGTAAGACTACAGAGGAAAGGAGCCCAAGGCCTTGAAGGAATTTCCTTTCTTGAGTCGGCCTCTTTTACAGGCAGCGGAGACTCCAGCATGAGCACAGAGCTCCACCCGCCCTTTGGCTGAGCAAGTCACGAGGGAGTCCTGGACTGGCTCTGGCCCCTTTGATGAGCAAGATAAGGCTTCTTGGGCAGTCCTGAGTCTGAGCTGTTCTTAAACCGTAACCCAGCTGGGTGTTAGTTCGTGGAACTTCTCACTCACTTGGGAAGAAGCTAAAGAGAATGTGGCCTGAAGTAACCCCCGAGAGGCAACAGCAATAGGGACTGCATGGCAGGGGGCCCTGGCTGCCAGCAGCTCGAAGACGCCCCAGGAGGGCAGACTGGAGCAAGGGGCAACAAGGAGCCTGTGGCCATGGGCGGGGGGCGGGGGGGCAGCTAGGGCAGGACAGTCCCAGGCAGGGAGATTTCTGCGGCAGGGTGGAGGAGGGCCTGGTGGGAGCCCAGGCTGTGGTGTGCCTGCCGGCTAAGGTGCCTTCGAAATCAGAACTCACTTCCTAAGGGGTACAGATGTTGTTCTGTGGGGTACAACACCCCCCTCAGTGAGGGGATCTGCTCCTTTGGGGCCTGATCTCAGCAGAGCTGGCATGAAGGAAGTGAAGATGGTGAGAAGCGGGGTGGGGGTGGTGTAAGATCGAAGTGGAAGCCGCATCTGTGTCCCACCACATCACACCCAGACTAGGCAGATGACCTGCAGGAGGTGAGTGCTGCGCCCCACGGAGCCACCCTCACACCTGGCCGAGCACTTGGAGAAGTGGTAGGAGGCAATCCGGAGGCAGCAGCAGGTCAACACCACCGTGCTACACTGACGTTCCAAGCAAGTTTGTAAATGACCCTTGCTTCATTTCTCTCTTCCACTTTTTGTGCAAATTCCTCCTGTAGCCAATCCTAACTTGGGACCATAAAGGGCAAGGAATTCTGGAAGAACTAGTTGTAACTTAGCCCACATCTGGGGGTGCCTCCCTGCTTCCTCCACCCCTCTCCACCACCTGTCTACATGGTGGGGGGTCATCCACTTTGTGTTTCAGAAACACACATGCCTTGGCTCACTGAGCCCCCCACAGCCCTGTGGGCACTTGTCTCTGTGCGTGCTGGTGGGCAGGACTGGGAGACAGGATCACCGAGGGGAAACAGCCCCGGGGCCCAGCCACGTGGAGAGAACATCCTGGAAGTGCTGCCCCTGCAGCAGTGCTGAAGCCCGCTCAAGCTCGAGTTCCTGATGCAACCCCCTTGGCCAGCTTCCCCAGTCCACCACCATCCCAGCACATTTGGAATGCACCAGAATGCACCAGATGACGGAAGTGGGTCCTAATGGGAACAGACTTGCACTGCCTCCCCAGCCCTAAACCTTGGAGAAGATCGAGTTCTGGGGCCCAGAAGGTGGCCACGGGGGCATGGGTTCACCAAACGCTCCCTTGAGGCCACCCTGAGCCCGGAGGCCCCACTTACCCAGAAGAAATAAGATGGCTCCTTGGGGACCTAGCTTCTAGAAGAGTCTCTGGAGCCCTACTCCAGGGGACTTGTCCCCTGAAGCCCTGTGAGGCCATCAGAATGTGTTGGCAGAGCAAGACTCGGGCCCCCACATGAAGCCCCTGTTGGGGAGCGGCTCAAGGCCAGTTCCTGAGTGCCCGCCAAGGGGCAGGCAAAAAGTCCCCCCCCCCCACAGGCAGCCAGCAGGCTTCTTTTTCATCGTTCAGGGCACTCCATACCGGGGTACTAGTTGTCTTTTGTTGAATACAGTCACCTCCTCTACAGATAGGAAACGGGCTGGGACTGGGATAGGCATGGGGCCAGGTGTGGGTATCAGTCGCATCTGCACTGGGCTTCGGGGAGGGCAGTCCTCACTCTCAACCTCCACCCCTTAACCATCAGCCCTGGATCCGACCCCACGCACTGGAAACCGTGTGACTGCTGGGGTGGAGCAGCTCTCCACTCCTCAGGGGTCCACCAGCTGCCCCCGGGTACAGGCAAGGACAGAAAGGGGCTGGATGTACGTGGACTTACACCGTGGCCAGGCAGAGGGCACAGGAAGGAGACCAAGAAGGAAACGTGAACAGTGTTATGGCGGTCTGCCTGCGAGGGTGTCTCTGACCCACCCCATCTGAGACATGAGTAAAGCACCAGAAGCTCTGGGGAACCGGGAACAAGGGCTCCCCCAGCAGCCTGCTCACTTGGCTGGATGGAGTCAACCAGTGTGTTCTTCCAATTCACATGCAAACTTCACTTGGGCCTGGGAAGGGTTTTCAGGCATGTGCCCTGCTGCCGACCCCAGATTGGGGACTCCCCTCTCTCCACCAGACTGATGCTCCCTCAGACTTCAGCTATAGCACCCAGTTCCAAGATACAAGAGGCAAAGGCCCACCTACAGTGCCCCATACCCCGGGGCCAAAACCTTAGGCTCCCCTGGCCTGCTTTCCCCCAACCTGCCCTGGAGGGCATGGACATGGCCTTCCCAACTCCCAGCCGCCCAGCAGGAGCAGCAGCAGCAATGTCCTTTCCCGTGCGGAGGGTGGGAGCTCTTTCAGCAAGTGTCATTTGCAGGCTCCTGCACCACGTGTCCTTAACAATCACATCCCACTGCCGCTGATGGAAGCTCAAAGGAAATTAGCTGAAGAGTGACAGGTGTCTCATGGGTATTTGGGGAGGGCTGGAGAGCCAGGCTTGGAGGCCTTGCAGAGAGGAGCAGGAGTCTGAATCACACTGCCCTGGGCAGGTGCCAAGAACTGCTACAGCTCCGTCCCACAACTGGGCACAGACGCTCCAACTTACAGCGGCGATATGAGAGCCACAGCCCCACTGCTCCTCAGGAAACCAGTCTCGACGCCCCTGCTGTCACCAGCGCACCCAAGTGCAATCTATGTGGCCCCTGCTAGTTCCCATCTCTGGGCCCAGAGTCATCTGACCGATGGGTGCTGGTCATGTGCCCAGGCCCTAACTTCAGGGGAGGCTGGGAAAATGCCAACCAGGCATTTTCTGCTCCTTCCAGCCTCAGCCTCAAGTGGCAGCTTCCCAGGACAGAGGAAGTGAGCAGTGTCCATTGGGCCCACCTAAGTGGTGCAACCGCTTCCCACCGCCTTTAGTGTGAACCCAACTACCCCCACCCCAAAACATGACCCCTTCAGAGAGCAGACCCGTCCCCTCCCCTAGCTATCGTGCATCCCCCTTCATTGTCCATCTAAGTAGCCTCATCTTTTTTTTCCTTGACACCAACCCTGTTAGCAAGTGGAGGCAGTAGGAAAATATGCCCATTCTCCCAGAAACCCAAGTGTCTAGATTTTTTCAGTTGCTCAGTAAGTGTTGTTAATGTTGTTCCATGATGAGTTTCATGCTTAGAATAACAAAATACATTCGGGGTTCTTCAAAAACCTATCACTTTTTAATAATGACTTTCTCAACAAGGATGCTATGGGAGTTGGAGCTATGACAGCTCTTTGATGCATGGCCCCACTCCATTCACTGCACACCTTAAGCAGTGTACAATCCCAGGAACTGGATGTCAGCGACCCCTTTAACTTAGTAAAGAAGAAAACCATGATTACTCCCACTCAGTTTCAAAAGGGAAAGAGGACAGGACCATCCCAAGATAAGGGCCAATGGAACCCCAAAATTTTACAATCCACCTATAAAATAGAAGAAAGGACCTGATCATATCCTAGTCTTCCCGTCCAAGTGCCTCACATAACCTCTCACTGGAAAAGTCTCCCATAGGTACTGGACAAAAATCGTCTCGCTGGCTCCCTCCCCCAACCCCAGGAAACCAGCAAACCCTTCCTTATATTGCCCACAGCAGAGGCGAGACTCAGCTGAAACATGCAATGAACTTTATTGAAGAAAACATTTACTGAAACCATCAAAGAGGGAATGACAACAGAGAAAGGAACATCTAACAGCCACTAGAGCCCATAGGTTATGCCCCGCTCCTCTTGGGGTCCCAAACGAGGTGTCTCTGCTTCCTCCAACACTGTGGCCCTCCTGCCTCCCTTCCTGGGGGCCCCACGATCAACCTCTGGCCAGGACAATAGAAACTGGCCACATCCCCTCACCCCAGGGCACCCTCCCCTCTGGCTGACATGCTGGGGCCTGGTGCCACCCTAAGGCCTGCACAGGACAGTCCCAGGAAGGTGGAAAACGCAGCAGGGGACACTCGGCCAAGCCGGGGACACGGAGTCACAAGAAATAACTGGGTGGCACATCAGAGCACGGTTCCCGTGGAGACTCCCGCTGGCCACCTCGGTCCTTGGTCGGTTCCTCCTTCCCGAGGTCACGGGGCGAGCAGCAGCCGTGCCCTCGGGCATCCTTCCGGCCGTCTCCTGGAACTGGGCTGGGGATCTCGGGGCTGGGGCTGGGGACAGCTGCTCAGAGAAGCGCACACACACATCTCCACGAGAACAAGCAGCGGCCGGCTTGAATCTACACCGAGAAAGCAGCGGTGGAGCTCACAACACTGGGAGAGAGCAGGCGGAGCCCCGGTCACCACCGAAGCTCACGGCAGGCCCCCGGGCGGGGGGTGGCTGCCCCGGTGGGCCAGGACACCCACCGCGGGCTCCTGCACACCTCAAGGCTCTGCACAGGAACGGGACCTAGTGGGGTGGGGGAGTAACGTGACACGTGGGTCATAAGGGCCCTACAGAGACACAAGCGGGTTTCCCAGAACATGGAGCGACGTGCCCTGGGGGATGTACATGAGGGTCTCCCTCTTGGGCGACCCAAGAGGCTGGCACCCTTGAGGCGGTTCCTAACATCTCCCAGTCCAGTGTAGGTGGCAGATGGCTCTGGGTGCCCCTCACCTAGGCTAGGATCAGCCACTCAGGGGTGCTTCCCAGACTGGCTGCCTGAGTTGGCATGGATTGGGACTGGGGCTGGGGCCAGGTATGGTGCTGCCATGGGTTGGGGGGGGCACATTTCCCCGCCCCATGTGGTGTCAAATGTGGTCATCCTGGTCACTTGGAAGGGCTCATGGTGGTGGCTAGGGTGCCTTGGGGAGATGGGGTCCTAGGAATTTGTTTGGGCTGAGTGGGCTGCTCCCTCAGCCCTGCCCCCCCACATGGGGTGAGGCTGCTGCCCCGGCATGGCCTCCCCCTGCCTCCAGAGCTCTGCTGCCTGAGAGGAGAGGGGGCCCCTGGGCCTTCTGAGCCTATTTGCCTGAGGAGGACTTGGGGGGGATCGTCTCCCCAGCCCCATCCTCATTTCCCGACTCCTCTGGGATGGGCTCCAGCCCCTCCTCAGGGGGCCCTCTGGCCTCCTGATCTCCGGCCTGGGCTAGGTCCTCTGGCTCATAGCCAGGAACCCCTGGGCCCACCCTGGGAACTCGGCCCATCTGGGCAGGAATGGGACCCCCAGGGGCCTCTGAGGGTCTTGCCTGACCTAGGCCCACAGAGATGGGAGCATTTTTATCTTCGTGAGTGGCAGGGAAGATCTTGGAGCTCTCCTGGGGGGCAGGGGCAGCCCTATCAGCTTCCACAGTGCCAGGAACTGCCTCACTGGCCTCCACGTTGGCTGAGACAGGCTCAGCAGGATCTTCGTTGGCTGGGGAGGCCCCGGTTTCATCTGCACCCGCAGGGGTGCCCTCAGTGATGACTTCAAGAGCCGGGTCAGCCCGGAAAGCATCTTCGTTGGCTGGGGGATCCC